AATATAATTTATGATGTATCAAACCATATATAATATAAAAAATATATAATTTTATCATTTAAATTATAGAATTAGTATCATTAAATAAAAAAAAAGCCAGCATGGCAGCGAGCTTGGCTATGCGCCCCCATCTCGTGGTTAGGGTTTTTTTTTATTCATAAATTCACAAAACTTGAATTTAAACCGTTATTAAGGGAAGAGAATGGGAATGCACTTTATTGATGGTTTGAGGTCTACATCAAAGGTACAAGTGCCGTAGTAGTTATGTATAGTTCTAATTACACAAAACATTAATCTCTTTTTTTTTTTTTCAATATGATTTTAATTTTTGAGTGTTACAATCTAACTACAAATACTAATATCTCTCTATTTTTTTTTTAAGAAAAAGAAAAAGGAAATTGTTAAAGAAGAGAAGTTATGAAAGGAAGAAGCAGATCCAGACGTCCTGAAGATAGGAGTACTTAAGAACCTGTAGAAGCGCGGCAGAAAGTTGTTGAACATTGCAGCTCTCTTTCCAACTTCCACCGACAATTCACCGGAATGCCACTCTTCTCTCACCGCTCCACCTCTCCCCTTCCCTCCTCCTACTCCGCGAAACCCCTCAAACCCCAAAAACCTGCTTCTTCCCCTTTCACTACCCGCACACCCTTCCCGATTCTTGTCTTTTCGATCGTCTCTCTCTTCATTGGCCTCGCTGGAACAATCTTTGCCGTCTCCGTAATCCGCCGCACCCCTCCTGTTCCCGTTTACCGATGCGGCAGATCCGAGGATACTTTTAGGTCCTTTTACTCCTCCTCGGGTTCTAGAAAGCTCGGTGATAACAACGCCGGACTAACTGATCGCCCAAAGCTTCTTGGGTTCGTGGGAATTCAAACTGGGTTCGATTCAGTTGATCGCCGAGCTGCCCTCCGTACTACTTGGTTTCCCTCTGATCCTGATGGGCTTTTAAGGTACTCAAATTAAATGTTCTTTAATTTCCTTTTAGCTTCTGAAGTTAATACATAGAGGCAACTAAATGGGTCACTTTCTAGGCTGGAGCAAGCTACTGGTCTAGCTTTCAGGTTTGTAATTGGACGATCTAAGGATGCAAAGAAGATGGCACAACTTGAGAAGGAGATTGACAAGTACAGGGATTTCATGCTTATAGATATTGAGGAAGAATACTCAGAGCTTCCACACAAAACGTAAGAGTTCCAACATTCTTTTTTCAGATTGATGTAAGAAATTGATTGTATGGATGTTCCATTTTCCTCTATTTTCAGGTTGGCATATTTCAAAGCAGCATTCAAGCTTTTTGAAGCTGATTATTATGTTAAAGCTGATGATGACATCTATTTGCGTCCGGGTTTGTAACATTGAGTGCATATTAGTTTCTTCTAGTGCTATGTATTGTTGTTAATACTGACTTTGTGTTTGTCAGATCGGCTTGCAACTCTTCTTGCCAAAGAACGAACAGATTCCTTCACTTACATTGGGTGCATGAAGAAGGGCCCTGTGATCACAGATCCAAAACTGAAATGGTAATTGCATTAACTCTTTTTTTTTTTAATGCATTTAGCTAATCTTCTTTGGTATATGTCCTGTCCATGTTATACTATATATGTATCAGAAAATTTAATTGGTGCAAAATTTTCAGGTATGAGAAATCAGGACTCCTGATTGGAAATGAGTATTTCTTGCATGCTTATGGTCCTATATATGTTCTCTCTGCGGAGGTGGTTGCTTCATTGGCAACTGCTAGGAATAATAGGTTTGTCTTCTGCTATGACTTTGCTACGGTGCTATCCTATCTCTGTGTATTAATCATTCTGTCTTTGCAACTGATAGTAGATTTAGTTTTTCATATACTTATTTAATGAAGTCCCTCTCGAAAGATATGGATTTTTAAATTATTCCTTGAAGTTGGTGATTTAGACTCTGATTGATGTATTTTTACTGCTTGAAAATTGTACTTATGTCACTTTTGCCTTATATCTCTACCTACACATCATAGTTTTAAATAGAATCTTCATGAATCATGACAAGAGTGCATGAAATCCTAGGAAATTTGGATTCAGATTTAGATTTATTGATCTATTGTTTGCATCTTTCATTACACTTTGTTCTCCCTTTCACTTCATTTATTATAGTCTTGAATTTGTGTTCTAGTTCCTACTGTTATTATTTTGTTTATTTGTTGTGTTCCACATTTCAGTTTGAGATTTTTCAACAACGAGGATGTCACTATTGGGTCATGGATGCTTGCAATGAATGTACATCATGAAGACAACAGAGCAATTTGTGATCCTCGATGTACACCAACATCAATAGCAGTCTGGGATATTCCAAAGTGCTCAGGTGGGTAGCATGACTACATACATCTGCTGATCTGCTATATTTCTGGATTAGTTTAGTATTTTATCATCAGAACTATGTGAGATGTTTTCAAAGTTGATGCCTTCTTAAGATGTTATAGGCATGTGTACACATTTGTATGTAACATGTCCATCATCCTTTCCTTTTCAAAACCATAGATATTGCAGATCCTCTTTACCATCATTTGCGTTAAAAAACCAGACTTAAGAAGAATTTCCTAAAGTGCTTAATCTAGGTTGCATTCTGCCCATCAACAATTGATATGGGGTCATTTTCCCCCCAAGTTGTGAATGCATAACAGGTGGTTTTTTCTTTCATCTCTTGGCACCCTTGCTTTTTTGTCTAGACCATTAGAGATTTTGTTTTTATTAGAAAAAGTTTCTGGAGAATCTGGACTTTTCTTTTTCTGCCCTGGTTTATTTTCTTTCTTTACTCTTTCAAGCTCGTCTAGTTCTGGGGTACACATGTGCTAAAGGTAGCAGAAGGATCATAATACAACCATAGTCTGCCTAAAAAAAGAGCAGATGCATATGGCCATTTTCATAACTTTTAACTTCTTCCATTTTCTCGGTTTAGATCTCATATGAACGGCGGGCACCATTGATGTAATATCTTAAAATCAGTGTATCTGCCAGTACTCAGATTACATTTCTGCTTTTTTTCTACTCCTTGTTTATACTCCTGTGGACATTCAACTAATGTAGATTCTCTTCCCCCTTATATCCTTTCCTGTGTTCTTGTTTGATTTGTTGCTCTACTTTCTACTAGACTTTTGAGATAGGTTGTTATTAGGTTCTTATTTGGACTGTGATTTCACTTTCTAAATTGCATACCAATGGGAAAGCAGGAATATTTTCAATGAGAAATTTTCTTTTCAAATGTTGTTGTGAAAATAAAATAAAAATGCTATTACTATACATAATTTTGCTATGACAAAAAAAAAGGGGGGGGGGCAGGGGGGAGAGAATACAAGCTTTGGTTTCATCTAATTGGGATAGAAAGAGGAAAAAAAGAGACTTCCGTCGTTTATGGATCACCTGAGTAAAAAGATTTTGCTAGTCCAGCTTTCTTTATATCGCCTACCGTACTGCATCATATAGTGTGCATCCATATCTGCCATTTCGTTTCTTAGCATTGAATAAAATGAGTTACTACCTTCCCCAAATATGTTGCTTATCTTGAAACACTAAACATTAATTGGCCACAGTTCAGTACCTTTTGGACAACTTTCTCATGTTTTTATATATGCCAGAAAGCCACTGATACGTATTCTTAAAATTGGTGTACAATCTCAGGTTTATGCAATCCAGCTACAAGACTTAGGGAGCTTCACAAGATCGATATGTGTTCCAAGAGCCCAACTTTGCCACCTGATGACAGATAAACATCTTGGGCATGAACTTCATCATACAACAGTTAATACGTTGTTGGTAATCTCAATTGATATGTGCTAAACTCGTAGAACTGTTCCATTCTTTTCCAGCTTACCACAATATCGCTGTCAACAAGACCTTTCGATCAAAGTAGAATGCCTGGTAATATGTAGGACCTCAGTAATCAGTAATATAGAAGCATATGAAAACCCTCCCGGACAATGGGGAGAATTGAAGATTGATAGAAGTCATTCTTCCTCGGATATGGTGTCACACCATTCAACTTGTTGTATGGTCTGTGTATGTAATTCTTTTAACTGTGGCTTTGCCCTCCAATTAATGAAATGAGTATATTTCCCACTAATTTTGATGTACTTTGCAATTTGACTCGCATATGGCAGTTCTGCCAATTTCAGTCTTAGTATATTCTCCGTTATTCATCTAAACTAGTGGCTTGGCCTCTGAGATTTATTGATATTTGGGTCTCTGTTGGAAGCATATTTAGTTATAGGTATTGATCATTCATTCAATGAATACAGTTAAGATGATGGATGAGCAACCATGTTGAAGTTCTCGGAACCATGAACCACTAAATGGTCCCAAACTCTTTCGAAGACACAAGGCGCTGCATTAATGCATTGCCTCTGACTGTGAGACAGGACATTGGCCTCATGCCTGTGTAACACAATAGCTACTAGACCAATATTCATAAAATGTCCCACTTCCCGTTTAGGGGTACCATTCACCATCAAACAATACACGATGTTGCACACACATTGAAATAGGAATTTCATTGCCACTATCACCATTCTTTCAGTCTTATGCACAAACAAGTCGGGACAAAATCATGAATGTAATTCTCAGGCACATCAATTTAGTTCTCCACCTAACATTTTGGTGTTAATAATTCAATTGTGTCCTCATCTCGTCCATTTAATCCCGAAAAGTTATTCTATGGACAAAAAGTAGGTAATTTTTGTTACTAATCTTGTCAAATTACTTGCTTTTTTTATGTTCAGCAAAAAAATTTACATTATATATATGTCTTTATTGATAAAACTTGTCAAATGTAGAGAAACTTCCTTATGAACGTTGGAATATTGGACAAAATGTCAAAAAGATTTACCTTGGGAAAAGTTTTCAATAAAACAAAACTAAATATAAAATAGGTTAAACCCCCATTTTGGTCCCTCAACTATTGTACGGACCCCCGACTTAGTCCCTCAACTCAATAAATCTCTGATTTGGTCCTTACTGTTTACCATTTTTACCCCAATTTAGTTCCTCCGTTAAAAATCCAATGACGTGTCACGTTAATTAACTGAAGCATGATGACGTGTCTAAATAGAGTGACACCTCTTATGCATACCTGTAAAAAAAAATGACATGGCAGTATGATTTTGATCCAAAACTAAAAAAAAAGGAGTGGGCCCCAC